ACTAATCCTTTAATGAATTCGCTGGCATAGGCTGGCAATTATCGGACCAATATATCCTTGCTGTCTGGGTTATATAAATGGTGATAAATGCTGGTCTTAAAAAAGAAACTTTCACGTTATTAAACATGCTGAAAATAAAAGCCTTTTTTCTGCTTGAAATTCAAGAAGAAGATAAGGTTAAATTTTGATTGCAGTCCTGTTTTGCCGGAATACCAGCCATTTTTTAATCCCAAAATCCCGGGACTGTCTAATATCAAACCCAAGATTTCTAATAAGATCAAACGTAATGAAATCGAATTGTAATAAAAAAATATATAAAAATAACAATTTCTGTTGATTAAGGAAAAAAGCATCTCAAAAAAAGTTGTTTTTTCTGATTTTTTTCAGATAATTTAAAAGCAAATTTATTTTGAAATGGCGAAAACCGTATTCAAAATTTTATATAAACTTTTTATATGAATAAATTTTTGTGCAACCACCTAAGTTCAATTTTACCTAGCAAAGTTTCAAAAAAAATGTCAATAAAACACATCTTGTCTAGCTTTTTTAACGGAATTTTTTTTTTGCAGTCTTGCTAGAAATGTTTTGAACTTTCTCTAAAGCCGTATTTTAAAACCACTTTTACATTAAAGTGTGAGAAGATCATATTTTCAAGCTTGTGCGAGAAAATCTTCTTTTCAACCACATATTTAACAAAGTGCGAGAAGTCATATTTTCAAACTTGTACACATTTAAAACAAGCTTTCTACAAAATTAAAAAAAAATAGACAAGTCTAAGACAGAATATAGTAGTGATAGAGTTAAATTTTTTACTAAACGTCTTTGAAAACGTAAGTGTATCTTTTATGATTTAAGAAAGCAAGAAAAATTTGTAAATAATGGTGTAAATAATGTTAACAGCAATAGTAATAATAGTAATAATAATAATAATAATAATAATAATAATAATAATAATAATAATAATAATAAATTTTGCTGTACACATATAATGTGTGAGTCTAACATCTGTAGATGTTAAAACTTTGACAGCCGTTGCAAAAGTGTTTTTTTCTTTTTTTTTTTTATTTTTCTTTTTATATTTTATATATTTTTTTGGTTTGTTTGTTTTATATTTTTATTTTGTTTTTTTCGAAACGATCAAACTTGTTTTTGAAGATGTTCACATTTTCAGAATTAATTATCTCCTCTGTTAAATTATTTCAATTGTTAACTATTCTGTTTGCAAGGAAGTCAATTCTTGTGGAAGAATGTGAGAATTGTTTTTGTATTTTCTGACTATGACCTCTTGTTATTGCATATTTAATTATTTTAGGAGAATGATTCCATTTAACTTTATCCATATTTTTACTTATTTTATAAAATTGAATCAAATTGCCTCTTTCTCTTCTTGTTTTTAAAGTAGTCAAGTTAATTTTTTTCAGTCTATCTTCATAGCAAAAGCTTCTTAAACTATTTATTCGTGTAGCCCTACCTTATAATTTTTCAATTTTATCAATCCTTTTGGTAGTAAGGGTTCCATACCAGCACCGCAAACTCCAGGTGTGGGTGAACCAATGACATGTACAAATGTTTCATTGAAATTTTATCTAATCGACAAAACGATTTCTTTATCTGACCGAGCTTTGAGCAGCCGTAGCGCAGTGGTAGCACACTTGCCTCAGAAACAAAGGATCCGTGGTTCAAACCCCACCTCTGGGCTAGTTTTGTGACATTTGTTAGAAAGGAGGCGTGAACTTCCAATTAAATGCTCATCTGCGGTGCTCTGTGATAAGGCCGTAAGGACTTCTTAGGGCACCTAAATTAAATTAAATAAGCTTTCTATTAGCTCTTGCCGCGATTGTGTTGATTTGCTTTTTCCATTTGATGTCGTTTGATATCATTACACCAAGATCACTCTCTAACGTGGTTTCTTCCATAACTAAAGCATTTTGCTAAATCATATTGAATGTACTACACATTAAGTAATTATATTTTAAATTTCTTTTGCCAATATGTATAATTTTGCATTTTTCTTTATTGAAGTTGATTTGCCATTTTTCACTTCATTCAACCAGCTTACATAAGTCTTGCTGTAACGTTCGACTGTCTTCGACTGTTTTAATGACTGAAATAATTTTTGTGTCAATTTGCAATGATTAGTTATCTTACTTGTTAAATCATTTATGTATATGACAAATAAAAGGGGTCCAACAACTGATACTTGTGGTACTCCACTTATTACTTTTTTCTATTGAAAGGTCATCTCACCGAGAATCACTCTTTGTGTTCGCCTGCTTAGAAAACTTTTAAACCAACATAATAATTGTTCTTGGATCCCAATGATGTAAATATTGTAGATTCTGTTAATATTAAAACTGCAAGTAAGTGCATCAAAAAAAAAGTGAAGCAAGTAATGGTCCCAAGTGGAAATTTAAAATATATCAGTGGCTGCAGTTTATTAATATAGAAATATTTAACTTCCATTTTTGATAAACTTGGGTTTCCAGAATACTTGCAACCAAAAAAGATATATATATCAAATTTATATTTATCTTGTGTTTGTGGTTTAAAATTAGACTTTGACACATCCAAAATTGTAGCATGGTACGATATTGGTCAAGACCAAGCTGGTCCACATCGGTTTACCACTCTTATGAATATCCCAAAAGGAATATGCAATAAAAGTTACAATATTATTGTTCAGAAATTGATAATTGCATCACAAACTATTGCTTATAAAACTATGAATGAAGCTGTACAAGAACTCAAGGAAGGCAAATCTCCTAATGAGATAGTAGATACTGAAGTTTCTGTTGATGGAACATGGCAAAAAAGGGAATATAACTCACACAATGGAGTTATCGCAACATTATCAATCGATCACAAAATTATTTATATTTCCATTAGTAAAAATATGTGGCAACCTTGAAGGTATGAGATCTTCAGCCTCAAGAAATTGTTTTATGTAGCATTTTTACGCCATTTCATTAAAATTAACATAAGATGTTTACTTAAATCTTTTACTTCATGGAAAAACACGGAACCAAATTAAATCTTTTACTTCATGGAAAAACACAAAACCAATTTTAAAATTTTAATGCTATGATATGTTCCAGACTCCAAATGTCAAAGTTTCAACTAAAATTTTGTCTTTATGATGCTATCGGAGCCTTTAATATTGGATTTAAGTCTAGTATCCTTATATTTGAAAGACTTAATATGATACCAGGACAGTATACCATTTCTGGATGCAATTACTTAAACCAGAGAAGAATTAGCATGTTGGAGTATTAAAATCAATACACCATCAAGAAACAAAGATTTTAAGAAGTCGCAAAGATAAAAAATCTGATATATTTAAACAGAAAGAAGGAAACATGTATGAGGCTGGTATTCATGATCAAAAACTACTATCAATATGCTCTTTATATATATATATATATATATATATGTACATATATATATATATATATATATACATATATATATATATATATATATATATATATATATATATATATATATATATATATATATATATTGTTATTCTTAAATATTTTTCATCACAATTTTAAGTTATTTGTCATTTTTCTCAGAACGCGTGTTTTTAATCTCCCTGCGGAAGATTGAGAACCGCTTGACCGATTTAAATAAAATTTTCAGGGAGTATTTCTCTCATAAAGATGTATGCTATGAACAGACAACTTTGTAAAAACGTTTTTTAAAGTAAATAAATTAAAGAAAACGTTTATCATTTTTGTGCTTAAAATGTTTGCCAAAACTAAACAGGCCTAGCCCTTGTCAGAAAAATTGTTTGCAAAAACTGTCTGCTTATTCCATAGATTTATCTTTCTACTATAAATTGGAAAAAAAGCAGCTAAATGTATCACTCTTATTAACTGCAATCTTTGCAAGGGTGAGGAAACTAATTTGACATTTTTCCTTAGTTACCATGTTGCTATGGCAACGGAGTGCCATTTTGTATAATAAACCTTCTTAACATTTTGTACTTTTATTTTGAACATGTAATAACTCTGTTATTGTTTTACTTTAGAGAAGATAATTTTTTCAGGGGTTTTCCCCTTAATAAAATAATTTTTATTAAGTAAAAAATTGATGAAAGTAACTGTATTTACAGTTGTACAATAAAAATTTATCAAAAAGGTTCAATTTATAGAAGAAAAAAAAAGTGAAAATCTTAAGTCATATCATGTTGGTATACATATACACAATTTAAATAGCACATACACAATTTACTAGCATATACACAATTTAATAGCATAAACACATTTTAAAAAATTTAATACACTTTAAATAATATTTAATACACTATAAATATTTAATCAACAATCTTCTATAAAGATGAAATTATGTTATTATAACCAAACTTTATATCATTATAAATGTCTAGAAAAAACAAAGGACTTGGTGATTAGGCATATCTGTCTCCTTGTCATCTTTATATATGAATAATAAAAAAAAAGCTCTAAAATAACAAATAAACATATTTTTATAAATTGCTTACGGTACATGCGATACATGCTTGCGATACTTACGATACATGTTTGCGTTACTTGCGATACACGTTGCGATACTTACGATACCCACTCTTGGCATCATAATACATCATACATGATGTAATCAGTTTATATTTATATTATAAAAACTCATTATATAATACATTTTTATTTTTACATAAACACTTCTGATATATTAAAAAAAACTTTTGTAAAAAATTATAAATAATACCACGGTGCTCAGCAATAAGACAAAATGTTGTCATCTTGTGCTAGATATTAATTTAGTTGAAAAATTACGTGACTGTTTATATTTGTTAAACAGAAAAGTATAATATTGAAAAAAAAAACAATGTTTTAAAGATTTCAATACACCCTGAATTACTATAATATTTAGTTTTAAATAATATTAACATATTGAATAAACTTAGTTCGTTATTTTCGATTGAGTAATTTTTTTGAATATAATGTTTAAATATTCATACAAAAAATGACTTTCATAAACGCTAAAGTAATAATTTAGAAGAGCTTTTTTTTAAAACAAAGAAGGAAGCTTAGGTATTTTTTTTCTTTTTATTTTCATATCTTTTTCTTATTTGCCATTTTATTTTCATTTTTGATTGCAGCAGTAACCACAAAAAAAAAAAGCATAAACAAAATATTAAATTTTTCCAACTAATTAATCTACACATAAAGATTCTAAAGTAGGATTTTTTTCGCTAATTCTACACATGAGTAAAGTGGCAGTAGAAGAAAAAAAAGTAAACTGAAGAAAAAAAAAAGTAAAGTGGCAGTAGAAGAAAAAAAAGTAAACTGAAGAAAAAAAAAAGTAAAGTGGCAGTAGAAGAAAAAAAAGTAAACTGAAGAATAATCGTTTAGTTTTAAGAAAAAAACTCTCTCCGTTCAACCATGGGTCAGGATTGCGTTACTGACTTTTTGGTTTTTTCGATTGAAGAATATTTAGCTAAAAAGGTGAGCTACGCTGATATCGATAAATGGGCGGCAAGAAAAGCTCAAAAAATTTATTTTTAAGTCCCCTTATTTACTTTCCTCAAAGGTTTTAACTTTTTTTTTTTTTAACATTATATTTTTGCCGTTTAATAAGTATTACAGTTTACAAAAACTAACAATTAAGTTAATGGCCAGAGCAAGAAGAAGGCATTAATTTGCCTTATCGCCGAGCGCCGTGTTACAATTTATAATTGTTTACAAAGTTATTGAAGAATATATAGTATATAAGAAAAATTGAATATATGTTTACAAGAACTCAACAAATAAAATAAGATATCGTTTAATACATAATATCATGAATAAAATAAAAGTAAAAATGAATATATATAAATTTATATACACATTTGCACACTTACACATATAAGCGATCATATACCCATATATATGAACACACACAAACACACAGGGCCAAACCAAGGGCGGGGCCAGCCGTGCCGCGGCCTGAGGCGCCAAAATTGGGAGGGCGCAAAATTCCCCAAATTAATTTATTTATTTTCACATTATGAAACTAATTTGCGTGGCGTCACTTTTATGTTGATAAGAAAATTAATTAAAATTGCGCCTCCTGACAAACTTTAAAATAAAAGCTCATTTACCAAACAGAAGAGCGCCCTTAAACACTTTAAGTTGTATTTTCTAAACATTATTTTTTACAATGAATCGTGCAAAAAAATTATCTGGTGCTGAATTTAAGAACGACAATTAAAAACCAATAATTATTTATAATATAAACAAATGATTCATTAAGGATCATATAAATTAATTTAACGCACACATTAAAAATTATTCTAAAAAGAATAAAATATATAAAAAAAAAACTTCGAATTTAAAAAAAAGAACGCTTAATTTAAGTGGCTTAAAAAAAGAAACAAATGAAATGAAAGCTAAAGATAGTAAAATAAGCAAATAATAATAAAAATAAAGAGGGAGAAGAAAAGAAAAAAGAAAAAATAAATAATAGAAGAGCGCAATTAAAAAATAAAAAGTTGTATTTTCTAAACATTATTTTTTACAATGAATCGTGCAAAAAAATTATCTGGTGCTGAATTTAAGAAGAAAAGAAGAGACTGTCTTGAAAGTGACGCAAAACTAAGAAATTGTTTCAAGAAGTGGTTGGTAACAAACTCTTCTGTGGAAAAACAAATTATTTCAGAGGGTATTTGCAATGAAGTTGATAATGATTCAACAGCTGAAGTTGCTGCTACATCTTTAATTACTGACTTAAATTCATATCATCCATTGGAATTAATTGAAGAGGAGATTTTGATTGGCCAAAGTCAAGGCGAATTTGGACCAAATGATTCAGAAGCACAAGAAGATAGAAATTCTCAGCTTTCCAAACCAATTAAAATGTGCAACAGTAAATTTCCTCCTGAAATCTCAGAAATTTCAGCAACCTCAGGAGAAAACTTTCAACACAGTGATCCAGTTACATGGCCTAAAATGACAGATAAAACAAGGTGTTTTTTGATTCAGCATGGGCCGGAGCAAGAAAGAAGAGAATTTTTCCCAAACACACTTTGTGACTTTGACAACAGAATGCGACACTTCAGCTCAAAATGGTATGAAAAAATTCATCCCAATGGTGAAAAATTTGTTCGCTACTGACTGCTGTACAGCAACAAAAAAGATTCTTTGTTTTGTTTTTGCTGTCTGGTATTTTCAACGACAAAAACCAACAATTTTTCAGAAATTTCAAAAGGATTTTGTGACTGGAAAAAACTAAACCCAAGAATTCCAGAACACGAAAACAGCAATGAACACCAAAGATGCTATTCTGATTGGAAAAATCTGGAAAAAAATCTCAAGGAAGGAAAGACCTTGGATTGTGATTTGCAGAGAGTTATCAACGGAGAGATGAAAAAGTGGAGAGATATCTTGAAAGTGATTGTTGATGCAATTTTGTTCTGTGCCAAGAACAATCTTGCCCTTCGGGGTTCAACAGAAGTAATTGGAGAGCAAAACAGTGGCATCTTTCTGAACTTAATTGAGCTGATAAGCTATTATTATCCTTTAGTGGCTGAACACGTTGCATCCGTTAAGGCAAAGAAAACCACAACATCCTACTTTTCTCCTCGAATTCAAAATGAGCTGATTGAATTACTTGGGCAGAAAGTTAGGAATGAAATTTTGTCAAATGTCAGAGAAGCTAAATATTACTCTGTTTTGTTTGACTGCACTCCATATGCCTCCCACAAAGAGCAGATGACCCAAATAATCAGGTATGTCCACATCACTGAGGAAACCTGTACAATTGAGGAAAGCTTTGTGGACTTCATTGAATCTCACGAAAAAACTGGAAAGAGCCTTGCAGCTGAAATCACCGAAAAAACTGGAGAAGGATGGCCTGAGCATTTCTGATTGTCGGGGCCAAGGTTACGACAATGGAGCCAATATGTCTGGAAAATATAATGGCGTCCAAGCTCACATCCATTCTCTAAATGAGTTTGCAAGATTTGTTCGATGTGCAGCTCAACTTTAAACCTTGTTGGTGTCCATGCTGCTGAAGTTTCTCCACTCATGATTACATTCTTTGGAAAAGTTCAAGCCATCTTTAACTTTTTCTCAAGTTCTACCTTAAGATGGGAAAAACTGATGAAAACATTGACCATCTCACTAAAGGAAAATAGTGATACAAGATGGTCTGCCAAAAAAGAAGCAATCAACCCACTACACAGACAAATCAAAGAAGTTCTTCAAGTTTTAGAATCCATAATTCACACTCCCAAGACAAATGGTGTCTCAGTTTGCAGTGCAAAAGAGCTCATCATTCAAATTGATTTCAGTTTTCTGTGTTTGTTGGATTTTTGGTGTCAAATTCTTTCTTTAATTTACCGGGAAAACAAACTGCTTCAGTATAAAAACATTTCAATTGACAGTGCAGCAAAAAAAATGAAAGGGCTGAAGGCTTCCATTCAGAATCTGAGAGATGTTGGGGTGGACAACATTATCAAAGCTGCTGCAGAAACAGCTATCCAAATTGGAATTGAAGGAGACTTTCCTATGAAGAGAAAGTGCAAAGTGAAGCAGATGGCACTTTATGAAGCTATCAATTATAAATTTGATATTTACGCTTTTAATATTTGCAAAACTTATTTCATGCGCTTTTAGAAGTCCTGACAAATTTTAAGATAATGTGTTTCTTCTGATCCAATATTTTTTTAAGTATTTTTTTGTTATTTTTTCATACTACATACAAAGTTATTTTTACTTTTATTTTATATGAAATTTAATATTTTTTAAATTTTTACAGAACAGTGCGTTTACTATAACCCCTTTCCCCCCTTCCTCCTCTCACGCTTAATTCTAAAATAACGAGACTTGAAAAAGTACAGGGGTCCTTCCTCAAGCCTCATTATTATGAAATTAAATAAAAATATTAGAATAAAACTTAGAAAGTTTTTTACTCTAATATTTTATAAAGTATAGGGCATGTCTTTATTTAAACGGCAAAAAAAAATGCATGTCCTTAAAAAGTCTTTTTTTCCGTTTCTGTTACAATAACTCATTTTATAAGTGGGGATAGCGTATTTAGGGGGCTAATTTGCAAGTTTAGGGACTCTTTTAGAATTTTAAGAGCTTTATTTTTTTTTGCAATACCAAGTAGCAAATTTATAAGAAATTAAGGCCCCAAATACAGTTTTTTTTTTGAGGAGGGGGGGGGGGGAGGGGGAGAGAAGGCGGGAAAGAGAGGTCTCACACCAACTAGCCACGGCACTGTGTGTGTGTGTGTGTATATATATATATATATATATATATATATATATATATATATATATATATATATATATATATATATATATATATATATATATAAATAGATAAAATGTTTTAAAATAAACTCATACGTTTTTAGAAAGAAAAAAAAAATGAATGAGAAGAAGAAAAGATTATGACTAAAGTAAGAAAAAAGTCTGTCTACGAAATTAACGACCGTAAAAAAGGAAAAAGCGACAGAAAAAAAGCTTTAGGTGGAACTCTTTTTTGGGATATTCCACAACAGGAAGAAAGAAAAGTTATTACACAATGGTCACAAAAGAGAAAACTCAAGCTCCTAAGTAATCGCAGTTTTTATTATAAAGGAGTGCTGCAGTACACTTTTACTTTAGAAACGCTAATTAGTTTTGCTAAAAATTTCAACTTTATGGTAATTATCCAAATACTTGTTGCTATAGTATCGGTATATTTATCAAACCTTTTTGATTTATCTGTTGACGTCGATGTTAACTTGTTTGTAACTCCAATTGTGTTTCCATTGGCTTTTTCAATCAATGCTGATTTTCAAAGAAGAGAAAAAGTTTTGGATGATATTGCAAACTTCAAATCGGCAGGTATGTCTTGGTTTATTAGTTTGCGAGATTGGAGAGTTGACTCAAACTTAGATATGATATGGTTTCATCATGTTCACCAAAAATTGCAAAGTATGCTTTTTAACATGAGAGAATATCTTTTAACAAAAAAACTTTGTCGGCGCAGCGTTATATTAGAAGCAATTTATGAGGACTTTAGTGATGCCAACCAGTTAGTAGAATGCGTTAGAAAAAGCAAACTTCAGTTAAATTCTCCTCTAGTGGCTAGAGTTTACTTGGCATTGTTGTCAATATTTACGTCGTTCGAGCGTTTACGAATTATTCGCGAATACCGTTCACCGCGTTCAATTCGTTCGTTTAACAAAATTCTAATTTTTTTTCTTCCCATGATTTTATCTCCTTACTTTCATCATGTAGGTGTTATGAATAACAGCAAATGGGCACCATATGTGTTTTCAGTATTATTAACCTTTTTTTTCTCTGCTTTACAAGGAGTACACGATATATTAGATGATCCTTTTAATGGATTAAGTGAGGATGACATCAAACTATCTTCAATAGATGAATGGTTACTTCATTCACTTGAAGTTGTCAAACATAGATCCTTTTCAATAGGGCAAAACACACCTAGAAATTAAAAATATTTGAAGTCATATTTTTTTAACTTTCAACAGTTTTATGTTTGTTATATTTAACTTTAAAATAAATATTTAAAAAAAAAAAATAACCAAAAATTTAAAAATTTAAAAATCGAGTTTAAAAATTTTACATAAAGTGTTGGTCTAGTTATTTAAAACTGCTTAATACAAATAGTTTTTTTTTTTGACGATAAATGTGCTACTACTACTACTACTACTACTACTACTACTACTACTACTACTACTACTACTACTACTACTACTACTACTACTACTACTACTACTACTACTACTACTACTACTACTACTACTACTACTACTACTACTACTACTACTACTACTACTACTACTACTACTACTACTACTACTACTACTACTACTACTACTACTACTACTACTACTACTACTACTACTACTACTACTACTACTACTACTACTACTACTACTACTACTACTACTACTACTACTACTACTACTACTACTACTACAACAAGCAGCTTAAGATTGTGCGGTTCTGGAGCAATAAACGTTCCTAAGCAACGTTTATTGGTATCAACAAAGCAGAAGTAGAAGTAGCATTTCTAACCAATCTGCAATTTAACATATTTAACTAACTATATAAATTTCAAAGCAGAAAATTTCACACAACACTTAATGCAGAGCATAATATTAACATATTTTTGAATCACGGTAAGGAAGGAGGCCTGAACTTTCTGGTTGAATGCACTTCCGCATATAAACATATTAAAATTTAGAGTATGCTCCACATCTAGAAATCAGATCTCAAACACCAAAATAAGATGCATCCGCCATTACCGGAATAGGTTCGTCTGGGGCCTTTAGGTACTTTATGTTTGGGGAACCCCCTTATATACAATTCATGCAATTTTTTTTGTTCTACCCACTACCGGAATGCCCCCCCCCTCTCCATGGTTAATTGAACTTCCCACCCCCTCCTTTTATTCTTTCCCCCCTCCCCCCCCCCCAGTATTAAGGACTCGAGAGTAAACATTTTTTTTTAAATCTCCTAAACAATTTTTTTATTTTTGAAAAAAAAAATATTTTTTGTTTTTGATTTGTTTTTAACAGTTTTTTTATATGTATATATATATATATATATATATATATATATATATATATATATATATATATATATATATATATATATATATGTATATGCTTAGTTAGTTACTCATTAACTAAACTGTTTATATATATATTTGTCTTCAGTTATAACAATGTACAAGAAAGTGCAATAATGTTTCTTTACAAAACTAAATGTGCTCGTCAATTACAACGTTATTAAGAAGAGAAAGCGCGGGAATATATCCGCCAATACAGTTCAATACATTGTCCGCGCAAGTGAGCTCTACAATACTTGACAACGACGGAAAAACAATCCCTTAAAATATTGCATGAAAATTAATTTCAAATAAAGAGCTACATTCATAATAGAAGTTTTAATTTAATTATATTTTAAACTCTTTCATGATGTTTTTTAAATTTTAAATTTGTCAGAACAAACCAAATGCAGAAGTAAACATTTTTGAAATTTTTAAAGATTTTTAAATCTAAAAAATGTCCAAAATAAGCAGTAATAGCAGATTTACCGTCAAAAACAAAAAACTATTTGTATTAAAAAATTATTTGTTTGTTCTGACCAATTTGAATGTTTACGTGGTCATGGAAGTGAATTAGTTCGTTTTTGAACTTAATTTCTAGATTGTTAGAATATTTGTGTCGAAGATGTCTTTATTTATTTTTATTTATTATTATTATTATTGTTATTATTATTATCATTTAGGTGCCCCAAAAAGACCTAGCAGTCTTGTCACAGAGCACCGCGGAAATGCATTTAACCAGTAAGTTTACGCCTCTTTCTTACCTTGACGCGAAATATGCCCAAATCTCGTTTCGAACCTGGATCTCCTGCTTATAAAGCAAGCGCTCTAACCACTGCGCCACGGCCGCACAATTTCTTTTGTCGTCTTTCTCGATTTCTTTTATCTGGTAAATTTTTATTTTTGAAATCAAATAAAACTGAAAAATTTAGTTGAACATTTTGATAACATAATGAACGTTTTTTCATTTCAACAATTGAAATGTCAACAATTACTTAATATACCTGAGTGTTAAGTTTTTGCTGTGGAGTTAGTGAACATTCTGTGTTTCTTACCCCCGGAAGTAGTTTTCACTTAATAAATCGCCAATGTTCTCTTTTGCGATTGATTTCAAATTCATCAAGATTTAGTTGTTCTTTAATTTTTGCTAACATTTTGCGAGCTTCACCTTCATAATACGAAAAGTTTTCTCGAATTGTTTTTAAGTATTCTGTCAAACCTTTCATATGATCAACAACTACATTTAATGTGAGTCTTTTTTTTTTAAAATATTACATTCACCCTATTTATTCGTTCCAATATATCCAATATATTCTAAAATAAGTACAGAATGTATGTTTCAAGTTCTAATAATTTGCACGTAACATTTTTTGACTCATTAATAGTATCAGTGTTTCGTTTACTGTCTTTCGCAATATTCTGTAAACTTTTCAGAATTTGTATAAGGTGTTGTCTTAAGGGTTTTATAGCATCTAACCTAGCTGACCGGCATGTTTCAGAAAGCGATTTAAAAACTAATGAACGGGAGCTAACAAGTTCATAACCATTTTTGGAACTAGTTATTTCTTTGGTTATTACATTCCACCAATAGGTAGAATTAGCAAAAAAGCTGTACAATGTTTGTACTATTCTAAAAAACCATACACCTTCGGAACATGTGCTATCTGCGGTGTGTCGTACAATATTTAATGAATGTGCACTGCACGTAACATATTCGGCATAAATAAATCCTAGCAATGACATTTTTCCTTTTGCAACTTCCTTCGTCTTTTTTTAAAGTAATATTCTTTTTTCAGCTCCACTTAAATATTTTTCATGTTGTTAAATCCAATCAAGTAAATAATTAAATTTTGTTTTTTATTTAAATTAAACGTTAGCTTTTCTTACCTGTTTTTCTTTTTATTAATAACATTTAGATTATAACTTATTGATTAAGTAAACAAAGTAATCAAACGAAACCTGTGTGATTTATTAATATCAATAAAGTATGTAATGTCGCTTGTAGCCACCCACATTACACAAATCGTTTTCACTAACACCTGTCTGTCAATGCAATAATGACTATAGTGACTAGACAATGTCAAAGATTGACCATTCCTACTGATTTGCATAGATTCGGCCGCAGAGTAGCGCCATACTGTATAAACGGTATATTGCCAAACTAAGAAATAAAAACGTGAAAATAAGTGACAACATGACGTGCAATAGTATATGTACCGTGGTGTGTGCCGTTACTGTTTTTATTGGATACATTTGTATAGCTACAATTTTTTAGTAGTATTTGTTTTTAAAATTTAACTTTACACTCGTTTGTTTCAAAATAAAATTTTTAATAAATACTCATTTCTTGAATGAGTAAATACAAAATCAGAAAAAAATTTTAAATAAAAGTTTCATATTTACAAATCTTTTTTTCAAATATTTTTAAATTTTTGGGTCCTTTCTACACCAGAGCCTCCAGCCATATACCTAGTGTGCCGAGTGGGTAATCCGCCACTGGCATCCGCCCCACTAGTGCTGACTGAGAATGGTTGTTTAACGCTGATATTAGTGATTACTTCCAAATACACGTTGAAAAAAAATTGTTTTTAAAGCAAAATCTAATGAATATCTAACATAAAAAATCGACCTAAAGTTATAACTCTAAAAAAGACGCAAACTATTCACAATTTATTTGAGTAGTCTTACTAACAAACTAAATTAAGAGATATGGAATCAGGTTTTTAAAATGCGGTAATGCAAATAAAGCTTTTGATATATTTTCTTTAAAATACTTTCTTGATATTTACAACAAAACATGTTTATAAGAATTAACCATAACTAAAATAAAAACATGAGTCAATTCTCGTATTGATAAAAAGCATATAAAATATTCAAATAATAAACAAGAATTTATAAAAAACCAGACGTCCAGATAACGAAAAAAGAGAAATTATAACAGTACCACAATCTTTTTAAGAAACCTAGAAAAGGGAACAAGTTTGACGGTGAAAAAATCATGATCCCTAAGTAAAGATATAATTAACGATAAAATTAACAAAATAACTAATTACAACTTCGAAGAATAAAGTCTGAAATTTTGATGTTTATTTTCCCTTAAAAATTTCTAAAGTGTTAAACGTTTTAAAAAGGTGGCAAAAAATATTACGACCACGCCAAGTTTATTTTAAATATATCTTAAGTTTTAGATCGTGCTATTATACACGATAGCGACATTACTCCTAAACAGAATAAAACGTTTTTTTTTTTTTTGTCTTTTTTTTTAAATAAACTACCTTTAAAAACATAAAAAAAAAATTTTTAACTAACCAAGATTGTTTAAATAGGTCACATGAATAAAACAATCATCTAGTTTTGATGACGTTTCTAGTAATTTAAACAAAAATGACATTGTCGACTTCTATCTCATTTCATAAAACTCCTAATAAATGAAGATACTTTCTCTGTAGCACTAAATTTTGCAAAGATATACCCATTTTTTGAATGAATGGTCAATTAAATATATTTGACTACAGTTCTGTATTAGTACTTTCTGTTTTCTCAAAAATTTATGAACGTGTAATTTATAAAACCTAAACTATATAACCAATAACCAATTAACAACACAAAACTGTTTTTTACACAAAACAATTTTATCCTTTAGAAAAAAATTTATTTAAACATGCAATAACTAAAATAGTTAATTTAGTTAACTAGTTTTTAATTTTAATTTTTATTTTTGGTAATAATAACTTCACACTTGATTTATTTATCGATTTATCAAAAGCGGTTGATCACCTCATTCTTTTTTTTTTTTTTTTTTAAAAAAACGCTACGGAGTAACAATTTTTTAAAAAAAAAACGCTACGGAGTAACAATTGAAACTTATGATTGGATAGAATGTTACCTCGTTGA